AAAGGTCGAAAGAAAAAAAAATATCAGAGGAAAAATGTCGAAAAATAAATTTTGACATGAACAAATGTCAAAATTAGAAATAAACGAAATAGTGATATCTTCCGTACATGATGACTCTAAATCCGTATAATTCATATTTTATTTTTCTATAATTCTACTAATCTAGATTTTTCACCACAAGTAATAATAATGATGAATACTTGATATAGATTAAATGAACGAACTCGACAAAAAGAATAATTAGATAACTAAAGTCCTACAGTTACGCGTCTGCAGCTGCTATATTTTCAACAAAAGAAATTCAAGTAAAAGCATCAGCTATTTCATGTATTAATTTACAAAAAGAATACAGGTTTTTCATGTTTTATTTCGATTCCCATAAATTAGTATTAACGTACTTAAATAAAGCAACTTTCTCTAGTCAAAATTTTATACAATACTTTTCGACCATTTTCGACATCAATATTTTGTTTTTGTCGACATTTTTTCCATTCGACCTTTCTATTGCCAACCGTTACAAATGTTTCTTTTATATGAGTATCTATAAATGTATATGATAGGTCTTTTTTTATTCATTATTCGAATAAAAGATGGTGGAACAACAGCTATTCATTCCTTGAAAAGAATGAAATATAAAGAAGAGAAAATTAAGCGTCGACTGACATTCAAATCCATGTAGTATCACAATTGGTAAATATCAAGATGCTTTTACTAAATATATGATCGAAACACAATCTTAATTCAATGTGAACATTTGTTTTAATTTTTTCGAGTGATTTTATGAATATAGACTTCCTAGTACCCCAAGAGTAGCTGTAATCGACCTTGATAATCGAATATTTGAAAATATACTTGTGTATTGCTATTGAAATAAATTATATATACATGTATATGAAAGAACTATGTTATTCACTATTCGAATAAAAGGTGGTAGAAGGGTCGCTATTCATCATGCGAAAAGAATGAAATACAAAGAAGAGAAAATGAGTATCGATTAGCATTCGAACCCAGGTAAAATTACAACTGGTAGCTAGCTAGATACTTTATCAAATAAGCTACTGAAAGACAATCTTAATTCAAATTTAAATTCAATGTGTACATTTATTTTAATCTTTTAAAACGATAAACAATAACCTTTTTACTATCTTCTATTCAAATAATGAATAAAAAAAAATCCTGTCATATACATTTATATATAATTTATTTCAACGCAATACACAGGTACATTTTCAAATACTTGATTATCGAGATCGAATATAGTTATTCTTCGTACAACAAAGTCCTCATGCATAATATCATTCGAAAAGATTAAGGTAAGTGTTCATATTAAATATGAACTTGTGTTAAGACTGTGTTTCAATAACTTATTTGGTAAAGACATCTTGTTATTAACCAGTTGTAATATTACATAGGTTTGAGTGTCAGTCGGCACTTATTTTCTCTTCTTTGTGCTTCATTCTTTTCCGAGTAATGAATAACAGTCGTTCGACCATTTTTTATTTGAAACATGTATTGTTGTTACTTAGCAATAAGGATACTTCAAAGTAGTATTTTGTTTATATTATCTGTATTTAAAGAAAACCTTTACATAGATCTCTATCATCAACTAAGAAAATCAATCGATTTGATTAAATATAAGTAAAGACATTCCAATTTTTTCTTCTAGCCCTTAGGTACTAAAAATACATGTTTATAAATACCAGAAAAGTAATTCGAAAAATTTGTTTTCCTAAATAAATGCTATGTTAAAAAAATAGCCCACAATAGAAGACCATGCTCTTTAATTTTGAGAGTACTTCAATTATCTTGCTGAGAAATATGAAAATGATTATTCTTAATTTTTCAATAGTGTTCAGACGTATTTTTTGCAATAAATCCAAGAAATAGCAGGAAAGACTCAGTTTCTCTATTTTTCAGAATTGGAACTATGTGTCATTGACATCGCAAAAATATACCTCTTTTTAGCTTTAGATGAGGGTATGTCTTCCTTTCACCTCAGAAAAATTTTATGTCGTCATCATTACTTCAATACTATGCTATGGTTTGACAGATGCACAGACAGTTTCAAGATATTTTGATTCACTTTGACACGCGTACGTATTGTCTGTCAAGCAAGGAAGTAAGTAATGTCCCAAACTAAAATATATTTAATAGAGTAGAGAGTACACAAGAGTGACTTTCTTCGATAAAAAGTTTTAATTATGTAGTTGAGAGTTTCCAGATGCTCGGAAATTCTTTCAGAGTATTCAAGAATATCTCTTTGTTTAGAATGTAGTTACACCCAGAGAGAATTTTTATGTGTTACAGACGAACAAGGTTCGAAATTCTTGGAATCGTCAGAGATTGCGACATATCTGTCATGGTCTGGAAAGAGCAACTAAGATTTATTTTTTCGATGATCTTCATTTATTTATCGATAGTTTATCCTGTTTGATTACCGATGCCTATATTTCAGCGCGTTCACATTGCAAGTACACATGTGTTAGGTTTATAGAAAAATCTGAATAAATTTCGAAAAAATAACGTTTCAATAGTCTCTCGCGGACAAAAAAAAAACGGCCTTTTTCCATTTCACTTTTGCATCGCTTTACACTTTGTTTTAAAAAAAACAAAATATACCACAAGATGCAGCGTGAAAAGAACTATAACCTACAAAGTAAAGCTTATTTTATTTGTGTGCTTTTTGCTTTCGAAAAAAAGCAAAATCCTGTGCGCCCAATTTTCGACGCTGCGAAAATATCATTTTTTTTATGCCAAGGAGAAATTCCTTTTTCTTTATTTCATCGTTTTATCACCTAATGTGCTTTTCTGAAAAAAAACAAAATATACCAGAAGATGCAGCGTGCAAAGCTCTATAATTTACATAAAACAATTTATTCAAATACGAAGAAAAGAATTTCTCGTTCGTGTAGAAAAACGATTTTTTTCGCAGCGTCAGACATTGGTCTCACAGAATTTTGCTATTTTTGAAAATGAAAAGTACATAATTTAAATAAGTTTTACTTTGTAGATTGTAGAATTTTTCACGCTGCATATTCTTATATATTTTGTTTTTTTTTCACACAAACATAGTAGTTGATAAAAAGATAAAATAAGAAAAAAGGAATTTCTCGTCGCATAGAAAAAAAGATTTTTTCGCAGCGTCGAAAATTGATAGCACAGGATTTTGCTTTTTTTGAAAGCAAAAAGTGCACAATTAAATTAAGCTTCACTTTGTAGATTGTAGAGTTTTTCACGCTGTATCTTCTGGTATATTTTGTCTTTTTTTCAGAAGAGCACATTACGTGATAAAACGATGAGATAAGATAAGAAAAAATGATATTTTCGCAGCGTCGAAAATTGGGCGCACAGGATTTTGCTTTTTTTCAAAAGCAAAAAGCACACAAATAAAATAAGCTTTACTTTGTAAGTTGTAGTTCTTTTCACGCTGCATCTTGTGGTATATTTTGTTTTTTAAAACAGAGTGTAAAGCAATGCAAAAGTGAAATGGAAAAAGGCCGTTTTTTTTGTCCGCGAGAGAGTTGTTGAAAAAAAACGATAGTTTATTGTGTATATCAGTATTGAAAAGAAAAGCAGTTAATATTCGAGGTAAATAAAAATACTCGCTCCTGTCAAGTTAATTAGCCGTTAATGATATAGTACATATGCAAGTAGAAAAAAAAAGTAATTTTTTTTAATTAATTATCATATTCAATCAAGTACGACACGAAACATATATTCATTATGAGACCAACAATTATCAGTCATTTTATTTAATAGTCATATTATAAGGTGATAAGTGATCGGCATATGTTGTTACCAAGGAAAACTCATGCGCCCAATGTGCGCTTGTTAGCAACGACTCGCACAGCTACACAGATCGATGTTCGAAGTAAGTAGTCGATTAAAATTATCTACACAACCATTTCAACACATAAATCTGATTTCTATTCAAGATTGCTCGACATTCAATCCGTGTGGTAAGCATGGATATTGTATGAATAATAATAATAATACTTATAATAATCAAAGTGCTGATGGATGGAGATGCGAATGCAAATTTTGGTGGGAAGGAAAGACATGCGAAAATCGTAAGTAAAATGAGAATTGTTTGAGAATGAAGTTGTTCATCATTTTAGTGTTTTAGAGTCAGCCACAGGAAAGGAAGTTATTGCATTGGGTGCCATTACTGGCTTTCTGATTCTATTCTATTATGTATTGGAAATCATTTGGCGTATACGCAAGAAGAAGAAAGAACGTAAATTAAATGAAAATAAAAATGAGACCGATTCATCAATGAAATCTATTGATGAGTCATCGAACGATAAAAGAAAACCAGTACTTCATCTGATGTCATTGTTAACTATCTTGCTTATGATAATTATTGCTACAATAGCTCTAATTATTCGATGGCTTCTTATTCAACCAATCCACAACGATATTGTTGATAAATACTATCGTCAAATACCGATTTATTATGTACCGAACAATTTTTGTTCATACGTTGATGATCAAAGTGTTAACATATTCACACTTCCAACTGCTTGTCTATTGATTATTGTTTTTGTCATTATAACAAAACGAACTTCTTTCAGACGTGATACATGTCGAGGCTATGTAGCACCGATTGTTCCACTCAACTTTTTCATTCATATCAAACGAAAATATGTCAGTGTGATCTTTGCTATTATGTCCAATCATCTTTTGCTTATTATCATAGAAGCTTTTCAACAAGAAAGAACCAGAAGAAACGGTACAGAGTTTAGAAGAAAAATTTCATATGTTAATCATGAGATCTCTGAATATCTCGATTTTGAGAAGTAAAAAAACAAAAAAGTTTTCTACCACTAGAATTTCTCATCGTGTTGCATTAATTAGTCTTAGGAAAATTTTCTGACAAGTTGATTATAATCAAAAACCTTGATTGTCAATATGTTTCTTAATTGATTACTATAGGTTCAGTCATTCAATATTTGAAAAATATAGCTCAAGTCTTCGTTATCTGCATTTGCTATTATCCTATGTTAGCTGCTGTTTATATTGATACTATTTTTACATTGTCCTGTGCAACAATCTATACTTGGCTCTATTTTATCATCACAGTCCTTTATCAAGGTTATTGTCCAACGCCTTTTTATCCAACTGAGAGTGATTATCAAGCAACAAATTCTTCGGTTGATGTTATTAAATATCTATCCTACTACGGTACCGGTCCGAGTTTGATTGCTATTCAACTTTGTATTGATATTCCACGATATTTATGTTTGGCTTATGTATGCATTCGACTGCCCATTATGCTTGTTAGTAAGTTTCGTCAATATCGGCATGATAAAGAAAGATATGACAAGAAATACACACAAGAAGAACAAGCATTTTCTATTGCTACACAACCATATTCTGTTGAAACTCTCTATGTAAGAAATCTTTTCCGTTCGCCCAATGTATGTCCTCCTAGTCGATCGTTTGTAGCTCACTTGTTACCAAAATCTGTTTATGAATGGCGTGATGATTTTCGTTTTTCATCACGTATTCTTTGTATTTATGCAGCTCTTTTTCTTGTATTATTTGTTCTGACCATTAAACTAATTATTCGAGAGTTACCCAATCTACCAGTATGGCAAATCAAGATTGAAAGCTTGACTGGTTCCAAAAATACAAACCCGGTCGATAATCAAGCCAATAGTACGTCACAAAATCAGACATCCTCTACTTCTCCTCTATCAGCGGTAAAAGTTCCATTTTTCATCGCTATTTTTACAGCACTCATCATCACTGTCATTCAAGTAATTGCCTTATTAACAAGTATTCGACGCCATTTATTACAAATATTTCGTGGTAATCATAGTGAAATACCGAAAAAAGATAATTTAAAGAATCTTTTATATGCAACGGGAAATCTTCATTTTGCTGGCTTTTTTATTGGCTATGCAGTTTGGGGTTATATTCTATGTTTCTTATTAACATTTTCTATTTATTATATTATTGGTAAATTATTAGAAAATGATGGAAAATTATTTGAACAAGTACTAACTATTATTATTCCCATATTTCTTTTGAGTACGTTTAAAGTTTACATCAACCTATTTGTTGCCAAATATATTTTCTTACAAAAACAAAACCAGATTCTTGCCATTAACAATCATCGTGTATCGATGATTTTACTATACTTTGATTTTTTTCTCGATGCTTTCCTCGGTTTGGCTGCATCGTTTACACGAATCCTGAATACTTTTGTAATAACAATCATTTATACGGCACGTCTTGACTATTCACCATTGGGTCGCCAGCTCGAATATCGCGATGCAGGTTTTTGTGCCTATTCAGGTTTCATTCAAATGGAAGCAATTCATCGAAATCCAATTATGTTGGCATTTTCTAGTATTCTTCTAGTTCATCAAAGAACGAAACAAAGCAAATCATTGTCGAAAGCACGTCAACGATGGTGTTTAGCCGTATTACTGATTCATAATCCATCGTTAATTATCATGCGAAAAGCAATTCTTGCTCGAAAGGAAGGAAATTTAGCATTGTTACAAACGATGAAGACCTCTGAATTCGAACAGTCGACCAATGAAAACTTTGAAAAGGCATTAAAGGCAATGTTACGTAGTGAATATGTAGGTCATGGATATATTTCATCAAATAATTCAGACAATATACTTTCGAAATTATAATCAAATCATTTTATTTTTTGTACAATCTGATAATAAATAAATCCCACACTGTAATAGAAACTCTTCTAAGGAGCGATATACTTACGTCTTTTGTATCTCATCACTTCTCTTCATGTTATTTGGATCTGTTTCTGCCGTTATCCAGGATTCTGATGTGCGGCTAAAGAAGTATATAATACTCACATCCACATCTAGACTAACTATATAACATTCAAAGTACAATGCTTCACTAATGAACTTTAAAAAAATCTATCAGCATCGGTTAGAGACGAATAGATCAAATCTAACGTAAGATATCTAGTTAAAACTTTTCTGCTTCTTCATCTACTTTGAATTTTTCATATGATAAGTTTTGATAAGTCAATTTTAACAAGTCAACTTTGGAAATATCTCTTCCACATGATATATCATAATCATTTAAGGCTTTTTATGATGAAGTCACTCAAACATTTTAAAATTCTTTTCGGTTAGTTGATATAGATTCAAAAAATCATTTCGATGACGTTTTTACTAGAAAACTCTGATGGTTAATAAATTATAGTACAACGTTGAAGGCGGCTAAAAACTTATAGACAGAAAATTTTGTTAACTGTTCGCATTTTCAACAAACTTGATGGATAGTCTTCAGTATCATCTTCATATTTTTGCAACACGAACAGTTAGCAAGCTCGACTCTGGATGAATCGATAGAGAAGAAGCTAGACTATCTGTCCATCGTACTACAGTTGATAAAGTATATTGTTTTCCAAGACGATTAGAGTCATCTTCAAAACTAAGAACCTATGCCAGAAGAAAAATGGCTAGAATTTTTTTGTCAATTTCGTAGCACAGATAGAACAATGTGGACTCCAGATAGTACTGAAATTTCGAGTTCTACCTCTCTTTCTGTTTCAAATTTATTCGAAAAAAGCACACGTCCATTTAACTATGAGATGGACATTCACTGGAAAATAACTGATTCAAAATGACTAGATTTTGACTCAACGAAGAAACTCAATACACATCACTAATTTAATATAAAATGTTTAGAATCAATATCGATTTAAATTTGAAAAACGCAAACAAGAATAGCTGCCGGAATTTTTATTTACAAAAGCACATATAATACAGATGTTATGAATACGAACTAGAGCACTTAGTACGAAACTCATAGTAATAATATTTCAAACTGAGTCGTTTTGCTTGCGCTGTTTCTTCTATATTTTTCCTTCAACTTCGTTCTTTGTTGTAATTTTTGTACTTTAAATCGTAAAACACAACTCTAATAAGTGTTTATACTTATAGTCCAATTATGAAAAAGCAAGAGTTGAAATCAACAGATTGATTTCTACCTTTCAGATACAAGTCACTATGTTTTTCGAATGGATATAAATATTTATTCTTGACGTAATGAAAATAATTGATTAAAATGCAATCCAATTCAAATTTTGTATTGTTTTTATCGAAATAATCCAACATAAATTTTTGATATTTTTATATCAATTGAAATTAGATCTTGTTGCAAAACGACTGATATTGGAAAACAACTGAAAAAACCAAAATCATTCAAATTTGAATATACTAATGAACGAATGCTAATAAATATTGTTTCATTTTTTTGTATTGTCTTATTACATATGTTGAATGTCGCTAGTCAAAATAAATGAATTTATCATTCTATTGGTATTTAATTTTTGACTTAATTAAATTGTCTTTGATTCAACAGCTTAGTCGATATGTTTTCGATGAATTTACCCACACCCCAATATATATACTGTATATGGTTTATTGAGAAAAGAAAATCCATTAATATATAAATAATGAGCGAAAAAAACTACGATACAAATCAACTACGGTTTCTATGTGAATAGATATAAAAACTAAAAGCAAGTTATTTCTAAAGTATGAACGGATGAGTAAAAATAGAAAAAGAATACATATTCAAAGTTTTATCGAGATCGACTACGCTTAACTTTGGTTACACGTGAACTTTTGTATTCGATTGTTGATTGTGTCGGCTACGTACAAATTACCTTGAGAGTCGACTTTAACGGCACTGGGACTACGTAATGAAGAGGGATTAGCATTGGGTAGTCCAGGTACTCCTGCAATGGTAATACCATTAGTTTGACCAACCTTAAACAACTGTATGCGATTGTTTCCAGTGTCGGCCACATACAAATTTTTAGCGAAATCAAGCGTTACGCCATCAGGATTTCTTAATAATGCTGCTGTATTACCAGGTGCTCCAGCAGCACTACCTGCAAGAACTGTTCTTGTAGCAGCTCCTATGACCCAACGGACAATATTGTGATTGTTACGATTAGCGATTATTAGACTATTTGATGTTGGATCGAAATAGATACCAGTTGGAAAGTTCAACTGATTGTTGGCATTTCCAGCTCCAGCACCGCCAGCAATCACAGCACCAACTGCTGCACCTGCCAAGTATCGCATCACCCGATGATTTAAAGAATCACTAATGTAAAGTGTTCTTGTGTTAGCATTACGTGCAATACCAAATGGACGTCTAAATTGATTATTTCCCGCTCCATTTCCTCCTGAAAATATGCACATGTTTCAACAAAACAACAATATTTAATGAAGCTTTTCGATTAGTTTCGTTCACCAACCATGATCTCATTTAACGAGAGAGTAGCCGTGTCCATGATTATTCAAGCACCGAGCTAAATTTGACTCGAGCTCGGTTGCAGAATGGGCTACTATAGGTATATGTAGCAGCTAATTTGGTAAGTATGGCTCCCATATGTTTTGCTTGTGTAACGAACAAAAATTCTAGTAGTCTGTTATTACTAATCTATCTCTACCTGTTGTTAAAATATCCTTCTGATCTAAAGAATATTTAAAGAGTCTGATATATTTGCTGCAGGACTGAAAAGTTATTTTTCAGCGCCTCTAAGCAATGCTAAGAAACATTTTTTCAAACTATTGAAATTTTGTGCAAGAAAAGTCGTGATGAAAGGCGTAACAAATACATATTCAGACATAACTGACTTTCAAAATCAGGACGCCTAGTATTTTGCATTTACTCCAATGAAAACTCATTTAAACAATGAGTTCTCTCAATCTATCGCACAACAATAAGTTCTTTTGTGTACGTAAAGATCTTCAGTCTCGAAACCAAAGGTAATCTCTGTTTTAGAAGTATCAACAGGTATTTCATATACAACAATGCACAAATAACATCATCGATGACGGCAACTGTCAGAGACAGTTTTTGAAAACTTTGGCGAGTAAAATTTAGATTTGAATTTGAACGATTTGAGAAAACTTATTCGTATAGGAATAACTGAATAACTGGTTTCTTTGTCTGTATTTTGCTGCCTCTTATAGCAAATTTTGAAATGATAATTTATTAAATTCAATTTCGAAGATTAATAATCTAAGGAATGCAGCAGTTTTCAGATTTTTTGCTCGCAGATGTAGAAATCCTTTCATTATTGAATGATTCTCTATCAGAACCAACAACTGTTTGAAATGTAACTAAGTAGTTTGAGCTAAAAAATAGACTATCCAATTGGCGGATATCGAAACTCGATCACTGTCGTTGCAAATTCAAAAATTATTCTTATCGTATATTGTTATGCTGAATATGGCTATACTCTATGACAGTGACTTGAACAGCTGTAGAAATAGCTTGAGAGACGCGATATTTTTCAAGATACACAATAACAATATACAAGAGAACTGAGTAACAATAGAACTTACAATGTGTTTGTATGGTAGCTAATCAGCGTGTATTATATGATAACCGAAGACTTCTGAAGAAAACAGTGTTCACATAATTGTGTACGCTCAACGAAAGTCCTTGAACTATAACTGTTGTGAGTTGAGAGTGTATGAGGCTGATTGTGAAGAGAAGACTCTCATCCTCAAAATAGACTAGTGTTTGTGAAATACATGATCAAATATTTGTCGCACAATATTGTATTGTTGAGAAGCTATGATAACCAGATTGGTGATATGCGATTTTCGGAGAAAGCAAGACCACTAGTAAAATGGTTGCGTGTATCTTGGAGCTCGATTAAATCGATTCGATTTTTATAGATTTAATTGTTTATCGACCAGCTAGATGTTGATGTATAAAATAGCCAAAACCTTTGTAACTTCTACGGAAGATCAAAATTGCAGTGTGGATGACAGAGAGTTTCAAATCTCATGAAACACGAAACTATTCAGACTACAGTGTGTGTCATTCATTAGAATGTACTAAGAAAGATATGCTTGCAAAGTTTCGGCTAAAAGAACCTTTCGAAGCTTGAGCTTCAGTGTAGCAGATACTTTTGTGCGGAACTACAAAATTTTATTATCTCGAGAAGAAGGCTTGGTTTTGAATACAACCCTTACAGTACTCAAACAGTTATTTAGCCTAAATTTGGTAGCCTAATTGGAGATCGAAAATATTTATCTGATATTCCTGTATATGCCGTTCAAAACATCAAAAACCTAGTAAACTGCTGATAATTCAGCTCCATCTGTTCATAGGCATCAGTATTTTAAGGCTCTTTCTGGTATCATTGACATCATCTAATGGACACTGCGTGAGCTTAACATTAAGAAAATAGTGCGACTATTTTTTATCGCTATACGGAGTCATAGGTGAGAGGTTTGTAACATATTGGTTTCCTTATTCTTTCTCTCAGTTAGCAATCGGATCTTCGGTTTTGTTTTCAATGTAACTGAAATCCTTTTCAACTATCTATTTTAAGCAGTTTGATTTCAAGGAATTTTCTTCGAAAATTCCACTATATATTCTTTAGCAGGAAAACAAAACGAGACGATTGTGTCTCGATCAAAGAATAGAAGATCATCATTTGACTGAAACCGTATAGAATATTACTGTTTGTTTTAATATAGCTTAGATGCACACTATGTAAATCCAACATGTTATAAAGAAATCGGCTACTAATCGAAACTACTCTTCAGTTTCTGTATTTTTCCTATTTTTCGTGATAAATTGACGATTTTGAAGTTACGTACAATTAATGGCGAAAAATACTGCGATTTTCTAGGTTGAAGGCATGGTGATTACCGTCTAAACCTCAAACTATTTTACCTGCGCCGGCAACGGTTGTGCCCTGAACTGCAGTGAATGGCCAGGATTGAACTCGATCATTAATATCATCTACCACAAGGACAGTACTAGTTTCGTCGACAATGACACCAGTAGGCGAACTGAGCTGTGATAGACCATTTCCGACTGCTCCATTTGCTTGACCAGCGACTGTCACACCACTGGCAGCACCAATCGTCCATTTCTGGACTCTATTATTAGCAGTATCAGCGATAGTGAGTGTATTGTCTGAGTTCAAAAATACATCACGAGGACGGTTGAGCCGATTGAGTGTAACACCAGCGACGCCATTAGCAGCACCTGCTACAGTCGTGCCAACTGTATTCCATTGAAGCAAACACACAGGAGCTAAAATAATATATAGACTTTCAATAAAGAAGCATAACAACAGAGCTAGAAGCTATGTGAACTTCATTCAGTGTACGAAATGCGATATGTGCGTGTGCTGAGTTTTCGATTAATATTCGTTAGGCTGAAAGTGTCTTTGGAGTAGTATGAGTTCTTTCCTACGCTACGGCATCCATTAATAATATGCGAAAACTAATACGAGTTTCGAAAGAATTAAAGCTAGCAATCAATGGGTAAAACAACATCGATCCTTTTGGAACAATCATTTTTTATTACACTGATCTCAACTATGATTATTCATCAATATGTCAATTTTCATTATCTCAAGAAAAAAACAAGTTCCAAACATGGGTATCACTATTTGTAGAACTTACTGAAAATTGATGAAAACCTACATGAATAGTCCTTAAAACATTTAGACCATTTCGTGACATAGATCTCTCTGATATTGCTTGCATGATGTGATCGAACATACCAACTTGATGTTTAGTACTGCACAAAGACACGGGAAAACTCATAGATTGACTGCTAGGCACTGTATTAAAAAGGAAACTCACGAGCAACTACATGAAAGGTAGCAATTCTCACAAAAAAAAGTTAAGCAATTGATAAATACCTAGTTTTACTCACTGAGTATTTTTATTCATGATTTACTATCAAGACATTTTTACTATGCTGAAAGATATGCATGATTTGATTTCTTGACGTAATAAATTCACAAAAGTTGAAGCATTGAATATTCTTTAAATATTAGATCTCACTCGTTGATCGACTGTTAATTAAGAGTATTATTCCACGAACAAAATTATAAAGCACTCAATTAAAAAAAAATTTTCTTCTAAGATAAGTTCTTGAAATTGCAAAGCGGAAATATACGTGACAACGCATACCAAAATCTATGAAACAGAAAACTTTTTACCTTTTGTTGTAGTTGTAATACTTTGAATAATGAACAATGATAGACCACCGGTATTGATGCAAGCGAATAACACGAGTGAAGTGGAGCGACCGTCAGCAAATATCATTACCACTGGAATACCTGCAGTATATGCGTTGATACGAGCTAGAATATGATTGAGAAATTTGCTTTTGCAAGAATGTGATAGGCCACACTTTTTCTGGTAGACGACACGCATTGTAATATCCACCAATAAGTGTGCAGATCCGAACTGACTACAACTAGGTCTAAAACAGAGTTGCACAAGTGTTAAGAAAGAATGTATCGTAAAAAAAGATCATGTAGAATCTATACGTACAGGTCACGTTTTTTTCTGTAAAGTTTATCACGGCGACGGCGGCCACTACCAGCATTTGTTACAATACCTCTGATCACAATATTAGTGATTCTTAATGAGCCTGTTGGCAAGCCATAGGCGATTTCTAACTAGAATTTCATTCAATTTAATTAGTTAAAATGTACGTGTTAAATAATGGAAATAAGATTACTTGTCGAGCTAATGCATCAGTATTGATCACTGTAGTACTCTGACCATTGTTTATTATCGTGTTTGAGACGTAGGTTCGTGTGATGTCGCCAGATTCTACAATATGAAATACATGATCATACTAGACAATTGTTTCTCATAGAATTTTTGCAAAAAACAAAGTCATTATATGAAAAATAAAAACTTGAATATAATTAACGTACAGAAGAAATTGATTTGTAAATGTAAAATAACATTTAATAAAACAAAAATACTTACGACACCTTCCCTCTATCATTTTTATCTTAGATAGGATATTCTAAAGATTATTTCTACAAGACAATGCTTTCTTACCAGAATTCAGTAAACTTTAGAGTTTTCATTCTATCCATTTTGGAACCTCAACTACATTTACAGCCAAAGTTAACTCTCATGCTGTTTTCTTGCTCGAGATCTTATGTTACTAATTATCTAAAATATTCACTATTAAATAGAAAACGCCAAGAAACATTAGATCCATCACTGATCTATCTCCTACAGTTCTTAATATTGATTTTGATTATGATAAAGATAAGTTTTTACATTCTGTTGTCAATTTGGCATGGGAAAGCGGTATTTCTCTGAACTTTTTTTGGTGAAGATCGGTATTTTGTCCTTCTGCTTCTCGGACATCATCAGGTGACTAGTAAGTGCTTAAAAAGCTATCTACATGAGAACTCTCATTTATCTTTGATCTAGATATCATCTTAGTATTTATGGATGTTCTCAGTATCAGAATCAGATATTAATGACTTCCTTAGGTTCTTTAATTTTTGTACACATGAGTTTTACCAAGTAACTCACGCTCGAAGTTGTGCAATCCATAGTCTCAAATCGGACAGATTATCTTAAACATTATCAAGACAACAGTTTGACATATAGCCATGTAAACTCTTTGGATAAAAAATGTCGCTGTACTGTTGAGATATTGAATTATTTTCAAGAAAGTCAAGTAAAGATTAGCTATTATCGGAATTTTAAAAAAAGGCCATCGGGCAAAATGCTTATAACTTTTGAACGAAGATAGCCAGAACCCTGTGGTTTTCACCATTCGAAAGGGAAGACAAGGGGACGCCTTTTTCTCCAATATTGTATAGGACGAAATCATTTAAAACTCAGTCATTTCTACAAAACATCGAAAAAATGCATGAAAACGATCTGTCATTCCGATGAAATTTTGGTTATGACATGTGGTCTAGATAGAGGAACTTCAGATGTATAGTTCAAGATATAATTCGAATGATTATCTTTTCACCTCCTAATGTTGAACAAATAAACTTGTCTATTCAATTGCACGAAAACTATAGAGTTCTTTTAATTTTTAAGCATATTTTCTTACTTTTCGTCTAAATTTCAACTGGATGGCAGATCGTTTTTTTATACATTTTTTCGATGTTTTGTAGAAATGGCTGATTTTTAAATGATTTCGTCCTATACAATATTGGAGAAAAAGGCGTCCCCTTGTCTTCCCTTTCGAATGGTGAAAACCGCAGGGCTCTGGCTATCTTCGTTCACAAGTTATAAGCATTTTGCCAGGTGGCCTTTTCTTTTAATTCCGATAACAGTTCTAGATACTTTTTCGAAAAACTCAATTTCGATCACTGTATACCTCATACTAAGATTCTAATCAAGCATCTATCTAGGTTATGCCTACAGTACTTTGTAAAATGAAGAAAAATCACATTTTTAAGAATGTGAGTATGAAAAAGGCAAAGTCAGGAGAAGTCCCACCACTTGGTCATTTTTCTATTATTAAGTAGGTAGTTCTTTCCATGTATAAAAGTCATGCTTTCCTAATTCTAGTATTCTGTGGTTTTATTCACAGAAATCCTGTTGAAAATTGTTTTCTTTCATTGTAGAAATTCATCAAATATCGTTTATATCTTTCGTCATTCTGTTATAAAATAAATAGATTAAGTACAGCATGAGTATTAATGTTTCCATGTTTCTTCTTAAGATATTAGGAAACATTATTCGATTCAACTTATAGCTGACATATCACAATTTTCATAGACCAAGCGGTTGACAAGTTGCTCATAAATTACATCTATACTTGCTCTTAAACATTCAAAAAAAACGATTGATGAACGCTTTGTAAGTCTATTTAAGAGTGTTTCGAATTACACATCTAAAATATCTCACAAAGGAGCCAATAGAAGTTCGTGATCTTTGACAACAATTATTCGTTATACAGATGTGTTGGCTACCTAGGATAATGTGTTTTTGATTAGAAAATTATAGATGGCAATATCGTCATTCGGGTTCTCTTAAAAATCGTTGCCAAAAACAAGAATAAATTGATAAACTGGTCATGCATCAAGAAAGAATATTCACAGAAACTACTTATTTTAGACATTGTTAATTTCAAAAAGATCTATTTGATGAATGAAGTCATAGAACACAAGACTTTTATCAGAAGCAAATATTCCTATATGAACTCATATCTATGGTTGATAGTGACTCATCTGCAAGAAGAATACGTTCTAGAAATTTTAGACTCATGCGAAAGATGTTCTTTTTATGGTGATCTATATGACTTCAAAGTTGTTAGTTCTATGATTGAGCTGTTTCAGAGAGATAACCGTGAGACTTAATCACATGAAACAAAATATTCAAAAATCCAGAGACAAGAAAATAATTAGTAACAATTGAACAACAATGACAACTGAGATAGATTACAGGAACAACCAAAATTTTCTGTATAACATATACTATAGGAATACAATCAATGATTCAAAAGCGGTTTTATATTATAAGAGTTAGCAGCGGCGTTCGAAATATATATATATACTTCAAACTATGGTATGATAGGGCCTGCCAGTAGAAGTTGAAAAACTTTAAAGATCATCCATGGAATAATATGACGTTTTTTGCGTTATAAGAAAATGTGTTTGGAATTTT